TCTTCCCTAAATGTGAAATATGGATGCATCCAAACTTAACAAAAACACCTCCTGATTTCAAATGCTTGACACAGATGGTGTTATTTCTACTTACTGTTTAGTTTGTTGACATTCTTGGATCTATAACTAATGTTATTTCACTAAATCTGATGGAAATTTCAGCCTATAGTTTTTCCAAGTAAATTTTCTGCCCTTGTCTATCTCCTATTTCTTCAAGAGTCTCATTTGTAAATAAGAAATAATGGGGCCGGGCGGTGGTGGCGCACGTCTTTAATCCCAGCACTCGGGAGGCAGAGCCAGGCGGATCTCTGTGAGTTCGAGGCCAGCCTGGTCTCCAAAGCGAGTTCCAGGAAAGGCGCAAAGCTACACAGAGAAACCCTGTCTCGAAAAACCAAAAAAAAAAAAAAAATAATAATAATGATATTGCCCTACAAACCAGTTTCTTGCTTATTCTTTCAGTGTTTTCTCTTTTTGTTTCCTGGGTTAGATAATAACTCTATTTTACTAGCTCTTTACTGTTGAATAAAAGTTAATCCAAAATCTACTGCTTTGAAGCAGCAGTATTCATTCATCTCTTACGATTTCCTTGTATGCAGAATTGCAAGTTATTACGAATGATCAACTATCTCATTTGAACTACTTTGACTCAGTCCTGTGGATTTGCAGTCAGACGCTTGCTGGGGCTGAAGTCACCTTAGGCGTGGGTGGAGTTTGGAATCTCCTCCTCACTTACTTAGCTGGAGAGTCGTGTCCTCTTTCTAGGAGTTTGCATGTGTCTGCTTGAGTGTCCTTTCTTCAGAATGAGCACATAAAGGAAGAAAGACATCATCTGCTCTGCCTTTATGACCTGCACGTCCATCATATTCTGCTTTTCACCTAGACCAGCCATGGCTCATTGTGGGAGGGAAACTCAGACATGAACATAAGGAGGTGAAGGTTACTGAGCTCTGTCTTAGGCATTGGATACTAGACCTGATGTTAAGTCCATCTGCCCTTCTCTCTGTAAACCGAAGTCTTCTTGAGTCCTTTTCATGTAACTTCTAAAATTCAGATGATTTGTTATCGCTCCTAAAATCGCCAACAATTCTTTTGAAAAATTTCCAGTTCTCTGGTAGGAACTTCCAGCTTTTTTCTCATTTTAACTCCTTTCCTTTTAATTATTTAAACACTTATAGTTTCTGTTTTAAGTCTTTCTTCATCAGTATCAAGCTATGAATCATCTTGGAATTAGTTTGTGTAATTTTACTATCAGCCCCAATTCACATTTTCTTATCATTTTACGTGTCTAGCAATTTTTTTAAATTATATGCTAGCTGAAGAGATTCAAATTGTTATATTTCTCATACAAACTTATTTCTTAATTCCTTCACTCAAACACACATTTAACTTGGTTTAACATTTTTTGTTTTTTAAAAATTACTTACTTTGTGTGTACTGGTGTTTCTGCCTGCATGCATGTGTGTGTGAGGGTGTCAGTTCCCCTGGAACTGGAGTTACAGTTGTGAGTTGCCATGTGGGTGCTGGGAATTGAACTCGGGTCCTCTGGAAGAGTAGTCAATGCTCTTAACCACTGAGCCACGTCTCCAGTCCAGGTTACCATAACTTATACTTCAAACCATGCAGTTTCCCCTTAGCTCTTTATCCTTCTGGTTACCATTTTTTTTTTCTGGTATTATTGAAAGTTAGCACCCATTTCCACAGTTTAAGAGATTAGCCTGCTCTTTTAGCACAGATTGTGTATAGATGTAAATTTCTCCACTGTGGTCCATTTCCCCCCCTGCAAATTTCTTCTCAGTTTCTACTATCCAACCAGTGCAGGAATGTCTGTTGTCTGATACTTAAAGTTATGAAGACTGAAATTCACTCGAAAGAGTTTCTTTTTCTGTGGGTGACATATTTCTCATTTCATCCCAATTTTGTTGTTACTCTGAACACTTTAATAAGTGTTACATGTAGACCAGGATAAATAATTTTATATACAGGAGAATTATACAACCTGCTTTGCCATTATCAGAACGAGAAATGGTCCATTCATGTGTTAGAATGGACCATTTAATTATCCATCAAATAGGTCCTCTGATACTCGAGATTGATGAACCTGTTTAATGGTGGATGATTCATAGAAATCATAAGGAGTGGCCATGTAGCTCAGTGGTAGAGCACTACCTACTATGTTATTTTACCACGTAAAGGCTCTTACTTTGATTTCTCAGACTGAAAGTGAACGGAAGTCAGGCTGTTTTGTTGGCAATACCCCAGTTACTGGTCTTGCAGTTCTCAATGACCTTGTATTGTTCTATTTTCCAGTGAAGAATCATCTAGTCTCTGTATGGATGGGGACAGGAAACATATAAGACAATAATATGTCAGCATCTCATGAGAGTACAGGTATATGTGTCACATGCTGAATCCCCAGAATTCAACTTAATTTCTGTTTTGAGTATGGAATCAGCTGTGTCATCCGACCTAAAACAAAACTTTAACCTTGTTCAATATTTACAGAATCAGATCTGTTGTTTTCTTTTAGGCTTTGGAGATGGTGTGTTTGGAATGGCTAGGCATGTCAGGGCCATAGAATGCCTTTAAACACATCCGTCCAATGTCTTGTTCTCTGTTTCCTGCTCCAAAGCATTTCTTGATCTCCCGTGGTAAGAATTGGATTTTTCTTATGAGCTGTTTCTCCTCCAAGTCTGGATTCCAGGTCTTCAAAATCTGAGTCTATTATTGTTTGTCTGTACGGTCAAGGTTTAGTTAACAGTAGTTCTTCTGATTTATTTCTATTTCTGTTTTTCATTTTAGTCAAGACTTACCAAAAATGATAAATTTCACGTATTTAATCTTTGTTTCACTTGCTTTAAAATAATACTATTTCATATTCATCTGTCAAAAATGAAAAAGGGAGCTTCAAGGATTAAACAAAATACATCACCTCCCACTGCCTTCCACGAAGCATACGTTCCAAGACTTCCAGTGGATGCCTGAAGCCACAGGTAGCTCTGAACTCTGCATCAATTCTCTTTTTCCCAGTACAAGACACTGTTGAGCTATGATGAGAGCAGCATATAGCGGGAGGATCCACTGGGCAAAAGAGTGATTCATATCTTGGTTAGGCCAGAGTAGCATAGCACAGAGTTCATCGTGCCGTCTAGTACAATAGAGAATTTAAAACGTCCAAACTGTTCATTTCTGGAATTTCCCATCTAATATTTTCACACTTCAGTTTGCTGCAGGTAACTGAAAACACAGGCAGTGAAGCTTCAAACAAGGGTGTAATGAGGTACTCTTGTTAAACTTTACTTTGTTGCATTTTCCCCCTAAAAGTTATTCGTGGAAAGAATAGGAGACAAATGACTAAGTTTGTGACAAATGTAAATATCATTCCTATGAGCACCTCTATACCACGCATGGGCTCTTTCTCCAACCATTGTTTTAAAAAATTCAGGACACAATGGGGTCACCATATCTTCAATGTGGTGTACTTGCTTTGGATCCACGTTGTAAAGTAGTTTACAGCAGACACGCATTTACAGCCACGGCTGCCTCTGAGGCGCTTGCCTCAAAGAGCTGTGATGACGAATAGCCTAGCAACGACGTCATGCCTGTCTTTCCAACCATCACTGCCAGCTAAGGGAAACTTACTCCGTGAGCACCAGAATTTTGACAACATTTATCTTGCTTTGTTTATGAGCTTGATATGTTCACATGAAGATTTAGCGAAGCGGTGTGTTTTCAGTCTCTCAACAAAAAACTCAGTTATGTGCTGGACCTGGAATCAACCTTTCACATATATGCTACTTGTAGAGCGTTGTATTTTGAGCATTTGCTCACCATCATCACCCCCAAGGAATAGTTCTGCATTGAGTTTTCATTTCCTATCAACTAGGGCAAACACTCCAATTACAATTGACTGTTTTGTTTTGGCGGTGGAAATCTCACCAGTATGTAAGCACTATCTCAACAAATTAGAGGGAAATATTGGAACGTATTTGTGACGGATGCTTTCGGGAATGGAGATTTGCTGAGAAGAGTTTAGTGCACATTGGGGAAAAGATAGAAAAAATCTGGAAATCAGATGTGGTAGTAACTATTGCACACACACACACACACACACACACACACACACACACACACACACACATTACAACGTAACAACTAATTGTTTATCTTTGTTGAAATCTGAGAAGAAATAAAGCCCAAAGGTATCTCTTCAACCAGTACTTAAAATCGCCATGGCAGATGATGGATGGACATTAGAATGCTTATGATGGGGTACAGCTCGTGGGAAGAAAAAAGCTCTTAACTGTAGCAACCTTCTCTGTCAAGAATGGTGACAGGTCCTGCCTCAAGGCAGGTTCGCCCCGTTGGCTTCTCAGGGGCCTTTCTTTGAGCCCTTTCAGCTGCTGGCCTTCAGATGCTGAAATTGAACTAGACATAGCCAAGTGTGTGCCCTTTTAGGAGTTCCAGCAGAGTCAGAGGCGACAGTGTCACCAGCAGCGATGACAAATTGAAGACTTCACTCAAAGGTGAGTCAGGTCAGCATGGACCTAGGCCCTTCCGTCTCCAGTGTGCACTGAGTTCCAGCAGAGAAGGCCTGCCAGGAGCTGGCAACCATAGGACACCCTCCTCCATCATCCATACAAGCTCTGACATAGGGACCAGCAAGGGGTGGCTGGCTAGCTGGTGCAAGGTGGAAGGGACTCGCCCGCTTCGAGCCCCGCTCCAGGAAACATGAGTTTCGCCAACAATGACCAGGTTCCTTTCTCACCATGCACTTGGTGGCCTCCACTCGCGGAGCTCGCCTCCGACAGAGCGGTCTCCTTCTAGGCTGCCGGCTCCTGCCGGAGGGCGTGCAGCAAGATGCATGCCCGGGGTCCTAGTGTCTTCCCCAAGCTCCTGGATTTGCAAAGGCTATGATAGGTGGCCGGCGGCAGCCACCGCCTGGGAGAGGAGCACAGGGAGGGGGCTGGCAGGGCAGGCGGGAGGGAGGCGCGGAGGTGGGGCGGCGGGAGCGAGGGGGAGGGCGCCTGAGCTCTGCGGCGCCCTCCGCCTGGTCTCTGCCGGCTGCCGGTGGCTCCGGGTTCCCTTGCACCGGTGCTCTCGGTCTCAGCCTCTCCGCCCGCCCTCGCTCCCGCTCCCGAGCGCGGAGGCGAGCCGCAGCCCGGCGCGGCGGTGGGCGTGTGCGCGCTGAAGGACGCCTCCTCTCGCTCCAGTGTTGCAGGCGGCGGCGGCAGCGGCGGCTGGCGGCTCCAGCTCGGGCAGCGGCGGCGGCTTCCGGAGTCCCGCGGCGAAGATGCTGAAAGTCACGGTGCCCTCCTGTTCCTCGTCCTGCTCCTCGGTCACCGGCAGTGGCCCGGGGTCTGGGAACCTCGTTCCGGATTACTGGATCGACGGCTCCAACCGGGATGCTCTGAGCAATTTCTTCGAGGTGGAGTCAGAGCTGGGACGGTAAGACGAGGGGCGCTGAACCAGGCGGAGCGTGGAGGCGCGGGCTGGGGCTGGGAACGCCTGCAGCGTGCACGCTAGTTGTCCCTCTGGCTGCGACACCTCCCGAGAGTGAGGGTGTCGGACTAGCCTCCTCTGCCTTTAATCTCTCCCCTGCCTAGGCAGTGTCTGGGCAAGAGCTGAGTCTCTAGTACGAGGCAACCAGGCTCTCCCCAGAGCGCCTAGGCCGGTGCAGCTGCGAGCATCCGCCAGACTCTCCCGCCCTCCCAGCGTGGAACTGGCTGCCACTTGGGTGATATCTCTCACCGCACGTGGACTCTGCTTTCCTAATTAGTGTCTTTGCTCAGATTATAGTTTGTGAGAGCGACTTGTGTGTCTAGTTAGTTTTGGGTTGGGGACTGCAGTGTACCCCCTCTACATCGTGATGGAATTATTAAATTAGATTCTTCCTGCTTCCCCTCACCAAGCTCTCCAAAGCAAGTGGCACTAGAAATTTAACCTAAATACTAGCTTCCCTGCAGCGTGTGCTCAGGAGAAGGCGAGAATGAATCATTTAGGAGAGTTAAAGGCAGAGTAATGAAGTAGTGGGGCTTTAAAGAGGAAGCAGCTCATGAGGGCCAGGCAGGGGTAATTAGTGAGAAGAGGTCTGAGGCTCTTCTTTCATGTGCTGGAGTGGTTTGTTTAAATCGTGTATGCAAAAAAGCCATCCCGTTGGGAAAGCAGATGCGCCCCCTCATGCCCTCTCTGAAGATCTAAACAGGTAGCAGTCTTACCTTGAGATGGGTTCCGTATGTTCTCAGATCTTTATCCACTGAAAATTATTTCCCTCTCCTGTCCCTCACGTCTTTTCTCTTGTCCATATGCACGTAAGGAGACTTGTTTTCAGTACTGTTTAAGTGCAGAGCTTCCATCAGAGGAAATCTGAACACCATTTCAACTGTTGCCAAGTTCTAACTCCCCCCCACCCCCCGCAGTTTAATTTTCATTCTTCCTTTGCTGGTAGCAGTTTATCTAACAGTTTTTTAATTTTATTGATGCTGTTAAGAGACGATGACACTGGATTCTGGGTGTTCGTGCTTAGTGGGAAGGATTTGCTTCCTCTAAGTTGCCTTTACTGAATACAAGTGGTGTGTAAAAAGGTAAAACTTTTGAAAGGCAATTCATTTATTTTTCTTACTGTTTAAAAATTCTCAAGCTATTTGAGCATTGAGGAATGCAAATGTCCATGTCCAATTTTGAGTCATGTTTCTGGGTGTTCATCTGAAGGCAGTGGAAGACTGAAGTGAGATAGCAATTGATATTTTTTGGGGGGGTTCAAGAAATCACACTTGTGTGATGTGCTGCAGCGTTGTGGTATAAACTTCTGATTAAAGAGATAATCTACTTAAAATTGGTAACTCGGTGCTTTAGAAGTTGCCAGGTAGGGAGGAAGTGCCGGCTGCAGCTGAGGGGGATGGCCCCACAGCCCATCTGAGCAACAACCCAGGAGCCCGTAACACATTCCCACTTACTAATTACACAAATAAGCTTTGACATCACATCAAACACTCTGATTTGAGAAGTGGGAGAATTTATAGGAGAAAAAAAAACAAACAAACAAACTTCCAAGCGGACACATACATACATGTGATAGTGGATCTCACAGGGAAGCAGTTTTGGAAGTTTGCTTGGTTTTGCTCTGGCCCTACAGTTTGCGTTCCTTTGGGGTTGTACTTATAAACGTACTATAAGCTGCTGAGACTTGCCTTGCCAGATCATCTTTTTGCTACCCTACAGTCCCCAGATTCACACATTTTTAAGAAGGAAACCATAACCACTAAAAGTTGCACTTCCGGTCTCCTCTCCAGCAGCAGTGGCCAATGCTGGGTGTGTTCTCTGTAGATGGCAGTGTTGGTGAGCAGTGAGCTCACAGCATGTGGTTAGGATCGATAGATATTTTCACTTCATAGTCTAAGTTATTTTTTCAATGTAATACACCTAAAGCATGAGCCGGCTGTAATTATTAAGGATCTATAGAGCTAGGAAGCTGCAGGACTTTTGTACACACGGAACCACAAAGATCTGCTTGCTCTCTGCACTAGTTATCAATTTCAGCTCACCTGAATGGATCTCAAGATTTTTCTTTCCGTTTTGGGCCAAATCTGGGGCCAGAGGTGACTCCAAAGCCAAAACACTTGATTCTTTCATGCTCAGTTGTCAGTATGATGCTCGGCCAGCAACATTCTAGTGCTGCGAGGGGCCACTGTGGTTAGTGTCACAGTGTGGACAGCCCCCTTTAGGTGGATTGGTTCAGTGTAGACACTCCCCTTTAGATGAATTGGAGATTTCTTTTTTCATCTCCTAAAAGTGTCTGTTACAGACTGGTGACTCCTGATTTCAAGAAAGTTAAAGTCAAGGCCACATGGACGATATACCCCAAGAGTGTGTCTGGAAAGTCAAGTGGAGTTAAATTCCTGAAGCTGTGAAAACCTGAAGCCCCTGGACCAGTGGTTCTCAACCTTCCTAATGCTTGTGACCCTGTGATATAGTTTGTCATGTTGTGGTGACCCCAACCATAAAATTCTTTCCATTGCTACTTCATAACTGCAGTTTTACTACTGTTATGAATTGTCATGTAAATATCTGATATGTGACCCCCCCATCCCCCAAAGGGGCCACAGCCCACAGGTTGAGAACTACTGCCCTGGACAGTGCTTATAGAAAGCAGGCATTGACAGATGATCCATTTGTAGCCATCCAGCACAAGATGGCTGTTAAGAGATTAACTTTTTTTTGGTGGTGTGTGTAGGCCTAAGAATGAGTTATTTGAAAGTGTCAGGCAAGCCAATTTTTTTTCCCCTAAAATCAAAATTGAAAATATTTTGGTATTTATAGAGCTTGTTAAGTTTACAAAAGTCACAATGTATCAACAAAGCTACTTAAAAATATGAGCTAGCCACGATCCTATGCAGGGATCCACACCTAGAGAGCAGTTGGTCTTCTGCCCAGTGATTTGAGAGACTGGCTTTCTCAAGGCTTTTCTAATGGAGCAGAGAGCTTGCCTCTGACTTACATTCCTCTCAGTGGTTTGGTGAATGGGAAGGCAAGATTTGGCTTGCCCTGCTCTGTGGTGAGGGTTTGGCCTTGTGGACCCAAACCCACATCCTGATTTCAGTTGGATCTGTCTTTTGTTTAGACTTGTTGTGCCATATTGGAGGGATGTTTCTAATGAACTCAGCTGGTTCCCAAACATCCAAATCCAGAAAACCAAATATTAGACCACCTGACTTAAAAAAAAACCAATGTGTTAAATTGTTCTGCATGTTTTTCTCTAGTTGCTTTAGGTTTGTGACCTTTAGGACCCCACCAGACTAAATTCATTATTTAAAAAAAAATGTGTTTCTGTGGCAACTCAGTTATCTATCTGTCTGTCTGTCTTATCCAGTTGTATCTATTATTGTTTAGGATACAAATCTATTTTAAATAGTGAGCTGTGTGGCCATTTGCGTAGAATAGAAACAATTTCACCAAATAATGCTTACTCTTACTGTCAGCAATATATTCCAGTATTTTATGTTTTATATTATTTCATTGTGTTCTATTTTATTCAGAATATTTGCTGAACTCATGTGGTCTGACTTCCTGCTCACAAGTTGTGGCTCAGTTAGAAAATGGTATTTTTGGACATAAATATGAGCATGCCAGATTAAACTATGAGGCAGAGTCCTTTAACATAGTGTCTTGGAGACCATTTGGCAACGTTGCCCTGAGCAGTGTCCGTTTGGCAGAGCTCTGTGGAGAAAAATTCTTCTTTCCTTGCCTCCAAGTCCTTATTAGATTTTCCCTTCCAAAATTTTGAGAAAACACTGGTGTCTGCAAAAGATCCACTGGGCACCCTGGAGTCTGAACTAGCTGAGAAAGGGAGCCTGTGCCAGGGGAAGCGTAAGTGTGGAGGGAAGGAACTTGGAGAGTGAAAGAGCTGTGTTCTAACAGTGACTGTGAACTCTGGCCCAGCAAATGCTTCTTGTGAGGAACCACAAGTGGGTCTTCTCTAGAAGCGCTCCAGCCAGTGCTCTTCGATTGTCTTAGCTCTGTTTGCTTGGACGTCAACAACAAAATCCCTGGGTGACTTAAACCACAAACGTTTGTTTTTCATAGATCTGGAGGATAGGGGTTCAAAACCAAGATGCTGGCTAATTTATTTACCCCAATGAGAGCTTTCTTCCTGCCTTGCCATCTTCTGCTCTGTTCTCAGAAGATAGAAAGGAAGAGGATATATATATGTGTGTGTGTGTATAATATTCTAACATATGTAATAATATATATTAAAACAATTTCTCTAAGCTCCTTGGTGCCTCTTCTCATAAGATCATTTATCCTGTCTTGAGAGCTCCATCTTCAGGAGTTGATTCTAAGCATAACCTCTTCCCAAAGACCATATTCCAGCTGCCATACCTGAGGATAGGTTTCAACATATGAACTGCTAATTTGTACATGTTACTGTGCTATGTAAGATTATTTTCATATATATATATTTCATTGAGCATGTCCCCTATATTCCTCTACTCTCCTTTCTCAATCTGCATTCCCATTAGTTTCCTTTGTTCCCCTGGAAAGTTTTACTGCTACTTTCACCCCAGATATACATTCATGGTTTTATCAGCATATGAATCTTTAGGGGACAGTTTAGTCTACACTATGGTTGGGGAGGCATCAGACTGTCTTTTTTCTTTTTTCCTTCTTCCTTCTTTCTCTTTTGCCAACCACCTTCTTGGGTATTATCTTGGCTAATACTTCTCAAGTTCCAGGCTTTCTCCTTACACCATCTTTCAGGGCTACACAGCCCATTTGTTGCATGCCGCTGGCAGCTGATCTGTTTTACATTCTGCTCTGATGGTTTAGCCTCTTTGGTGCTCACATGTTCCTTCTCATTTGGGTTTTTAGTGTGATTCTGAATTTCTCCATAAAATTGATTCTTAGTCAGCTCAGGAGCAAGGTGTGACACCAAATGGGAGAATAGAAGC